AATTTTGCTCCAGAAAAGAAAAAAAAAGTTTAAAAATCATTATTTAATTTTTTCAGGATGTCTTTACTCAGGCAGAATTTACTACAGTAACTGTCTTCCAATCCAATTATAATTTCTACATATACCATGAAGAAAAACGATCATAGGACAGCTAGCATTTTAGAGATGTCAAATACAGTTATTTTTGTTATGCTAAACGTTTGCCTGGACCAAAATCATCTGGCACTTCCAACCGAAGCTCCAGCAATGTTTTACGTCAGACATAAACAGCCATTACCTTTGAGGGAATATTTCCATATATCAGCCTTACTATCTGTGAGTTCTTCAAAAGTTTTTTGTTTTATGCTGTAATTTTTTTCTGAATTTAACCAGAGGGGAAACGTGATATGTTTCCTAGGGTAAAAAGCATTTTATAAACCCTGTTAATATACCACTGCAATGTAACCCGTGTCCGTAAGCTTACCAACTATGGCTGTGTTGAGCAGTAGATGCATTCCTTTCATTATATTTTAGATAGTCACAGCAGGCATTTTCTTTCAGCTGCCACCTAACACCCAGCATAATACTCAACAGAAATGCATGTTTCAATGGTTCCTTAACATTCAAACCTCTTAGCAGCAGGTAAGTGCTTCTGAAGTTAGGTAACAGCTGATATTGAAAGACACCTGGGATGCAGCCTGTGCTGATACAGAACAGCTACAAAAGCACAGCAGCCTTGGGCATGGGGCATGCCAGCTGCTCTTGCTGCCAGATTAGAGAGTAAATGCAGGTTTTCAAGCAGTGGGGCAGAAAATCAGGGACCCTGCCTTGGGTTAACAATTTAAATCAAATAGATCCTAGGGATTGCAGATAAAGGCCGTGCCTCAGATTGCATTATGTTTCATGTTCATATATAGAGGCAAGTGCAGGAAGAGCACTGACCTTTGCTTGGCTGACACAGGTCTGTGCTTTAGGGATGTCTTCCAACAAAACCAATTAAAAATAAATGATCAACCACTATTACTTTTTTCAGCTTGTCTGGTTCATATTTGGAGTATTTTAGCCACATCGCTACTGTGACATCAATTAAAATTGTACAGCTTCCCTATATCATGCACATGAGGACAAGACTATTCCCCATGCTCAGGAAGAACGAAACTGTTCGTACGACAAAGGTTATTCCTTTTCACCATGCTTCTAACCGGAGGAGAAAGAAGGGATGACATAGCTCCCCAAAGTTTATGATGATAAGAACTGCAATATGATGGCCAAAAGTGTTCACTTGGACCTTCTGGGCCTCTGTCAGCGGTCAATGGATGCTTAGGGAAAGCAGAAAGAAGGAAAAAAAAGGATGAGATCTTAGTTCCTGAACACGCTCTCCCGGCTTTCAAGTATCAGAGATTAGAAACAAACCCCATTAGTGCTGCAGGGATAGCTGTGATATCTGTCCTCGTATCAAGGGGCTTCATGTGGAATCGTAATGACTGCTGGGAGCCATGCCATAAATCCCATGCTGCCAATAATGGATAGAGATATTTTTTGGATCAAATGGCAGTAATCAGAATATTAGCAGCAGAGAGATCCGACCCTGTTTTTATTAATGTAAACCTACAACAATGCAATAAACTGCCCCAGCAAGATGTGTTTCACAGATCAAGAGTAAAATGCTTTCATTCCCTGCTGCATGTTAAGCTCCTATTGCTTGAACCCTAGGTGCAAGCCTGGTCGTACTAAAAGTAATGACAGTATTCCCAGTGATTTGAATACATCCAAGTTTTCATTCTGTGAAGCCATAAGGTGTTTGAAACATTACTTTTAGCTACCAGAAAAGCAACAGTAACTTCTGAAAACCAGAAAAGTAACAGTAACTAATTTGGTTTTCCCTTTGCAGTTACGCTGGGCAGAGTTATAAATATTTTCTTAGAAACAATTATACCGTTTCTTTCACTTCCCTTAACTATTGACTGAAGTGTGATATATGTATTGTTTCAAGTAATATATAAAGCCTCATAGCCATTTATTGACAATGTGCTAAGCCAGGTACCTTTTAGGCAATTCTCTAGCTTGAAAGACCTATTGTTAACAGAGTGAACTCCAGACACCTCAATATCCCTGGCTGTTATCATTTTGAACGTAAATGTACATATTAATCAGCTAATCACTAACCTCTGAAGCCCCTAAATGCAGTATTGGCAAGTCTTCTCAAAAAGCATTTCCAATCTTGCATGACTGTTATTGCATTTACTTAAGGAATCATCTGTCACATAATGGCTAGTTAGTAAAATCGACTAATTAACAGATAAGTTAAATGGAGAAATAAATCTCCCAAGCTCAAGACTACTGAAATGTCATCCTTTCCCATGCAAAGGCACCAGAAAAGCTTGAGAAAAACTGATGCATTTTCAAGTCCTTTTAGGTATGTGAAATGTATGGCATTTCATCCATTTTCTGTTACAGCTTATTGAACAATGGCTTCTTTTTCTTTTTCTTTTTCTTTTTTTTTTTAATATTAAAGTACATGCAGTACATTACAGAATTGACAACACATCTGAGTCTTTTTTTCCTCTTGCTTTCTATCTGAAACACGTGGTTTGCCCTTTAAGATCATTTCGGTGTATTAGCCAATTTTGAGAACTATTCATGTGCACGCTTTGGAACTATTCTATTAATTTATTATTGATCAGACCTTTGGGACTTAGAAATCTTTAGATCCGTGTTTAATTCCTGTTAATGTTTGTTCTAACTCTTCTGTGATAACTAATCACGGTGCATATCCAGCAGGTTTATATATGCTTTAGACTCCCTTGATATCTGTTCTGTGAAACACTTAAAAGCAATTTAACTTTTAAAACTAATATTAGCACTGCAAATACTTCAATTTCCTCTCATCCTAATAAATGAAGGGTATCCTGACGAAGGAAGTGGGAAACAGATGGGTACATCACCAAAGCGTGAAGCTGAATCACTTTGCTAATACGCACGCATACACAGTACACACACACACACACTAACAGCGTGACACTTCTAACCTCCAATACTCCAATTACTTAACAAATATTGTAATCCCATTTTTTTCTTTTTTTTTAAAGTATTTTCTACAAACAAAATCTTAGGGATTACTGGAAGAAAATATGCCTGATGCTAAGTAGGCTTGTGGCAGGACCAGGAACTGCACCTCTCGTCTCCAAAGTTTCAGCCCCAAACACCCTGCATGGGAAGCCAGGCAAGAAAACCACGTTCCCCTTAAGTTCCAGGAGTAAAAACCTCCCCAGCCCTTGAAATTCCATGAAAACCTAAGTTTCTCTGTTTTTCTCTGATTTACCTCATAACGCATCAAACATCAACAGCGTTCTCCTTGACACAATGTGGGAGCTGGGATAATGCTGTTCAGCACACAGACTACTCATGGCTTCCTAATTACCAACTGCAGCAGGCTGCATGATTAGGTGCACTGTAATGCCTACTGTAATGCCTCCTGCATTAGCTTCTCAGTATTAATGACTGCTTTAATCCTGCCATATTTCATTCAGATTTTATTTGACAGTTTCTCAGTACTTTTTGGGTACCTCAGTTACATTGCTGATATTCATACTAATCAGTCTCTTCTGGCATCTGTACTTTCAGTTTGGAGCTGATTCAGGAAAAGGCCATCAAATCATGGCACTACTACCTCCATAATTTTCTGTTATTTAGGATGCATATAACTGCACTTCTGAGCTGTTACAGATGCATCTATAATGTCCCCTGCTATCATTTTGGGAAAAGTCTCAAAGCACACTTGTGTTTGTGATATACAAACCATTCAGTTCCCTACCTCCATTCCTGCGAGCATACAGTATTTCTCCCTCATAACTGTGACAAAAGAAAGCTCGAAACTTCAAAAGAAATAAAACTGAGATATTGGTTCCTCTGATTAAATATCTTGCATCTATCCAGTTTGCTACACAGACCACTATCATCTGCTATAGATATCATCTTTAAAACATCATGATCAGTTATTCTGACTCTCCCTTTTCCACAATATAAATCAGAAGCGTCTCAACTGCAGTCAAGTGTGTTACACCTATATAAAGGCATAATAAGAATTACAATATACAGTAACAACCTCCAATATCTTTTCCTTCTCTTCAGGAAACAAACAAACAGAGTATGATGAACACTGGTAATCTGGCCTTCTAGTGGCAGCATATTCAAATGTCCAAAATGAATGAGAGAAGCAAAATCAAAGGAGTCTACTTTACCATCCATCCACCCTGATAGAATTCAGCAATGCAAAGTGGCAATAAAACCATCACAGGTCTCAATTTCTGAATAAGAACCGAAAAAATACACCAATAAAAAGAACCTGCTTGTTCACACAGCAAGACCCAGACCTGAAAAGGAGAACAACACTTAGCTTTTTTTTTTAAATAAAAAATTAAGTGAAAACCAGCCCAACATGAGCACAGGCTGTGGCCAGTAGGTGAAACCGAGCACCAGAGGCATTCAGCCCAGCTCCTAAGCTCTGCCAACATGCAGATGGGGCAGAAAGCAAACAGCACTGGATTTCAGCTTCTATTGCAAACCACTGCTGTTTCTTTGTTCAGTAATAGCTTAGATGTAGATTCCTGGTATTCAGACAGATTCCTAGACCTTCATCTGAGTGTCTATATTCTGCTAGTGCCCTAATAGCTAACGTAAACATTTGGTGGATCCTACGAAAGTAACACATTAAATTTTATTATGCTGGTCCACAACATCAGGGACAGATGTTGATGGTACGGCAGCAGAGGTTAAACCTCCCCACCAATATCCTGTTACATTTTGTTGCCACGTAACAGATGGCAGTGGAGAGACAGTCCAACTGAAAGGTGTCTGACACGGAAATGCATATGAACAGAAGGTGTGTCACTGAATTTCTCCACGCAGAAAAAATGGCACCCACTGACATTCATTGATGCTTGCTGAACATCTAAGGAGAATAAACAGATGTAAGCACAGCATGATGGTGGGTGGTGCGTTTCAGCAGGGACAACAGTGGGTCAGCTCTGCTGGTGCAGATTTTCACAAGCACGGTATGTAGGCTCCTGTTCAACACTGACAAAAATACATGACTAAAGTTGGTGATTATGTTGAAAAATAGCATTTTTTTAGCTGAGAATTTGCTCTACCATATAGTGTTACTGCGCTGTTTATAGCCATTATAGTTACCGTAGAAGTAAATAGGAGGCATTACTTTCAGAGCAACCTACATACATTTTCACTTCCCTCAGGTACTTCTGCAGGAAAATGCAGTAACTTCAGAGAGGTTACAGCACGTTTACTTCATTCAATTGAATCCAATGCTCTTTTACGGCTGCTTAATAGAAATCAATTCAGTTTGTGGATGCCTGACTGCTATGAACAGAACATGTTACTGTGGCTGTCATTTAACAGTTCTCCTATCTCCAATGCTGCATGCCAAATTCTAAAAATGCAGAGCCTCTCACAGAGATGGTATAATCTTCACGCAGGCTTCATATTGAACTAAACAGGAAACTTGCCTGCTCTCCACTCTACATCAACAATCACAGGCTCACAGTATACTAAAATCTCACCATGGTTCTTTCTCCTGAAATTTATTTTCATGTAAAATGTTCCTTATGCTGCAAACGCTGAAACTCCATTTCCAAGACACAGAGATCATTAGGGGTCTATATAATGCTTCTCAATCAGTTTCGGGTCCACGACATATGATTTCTCTCCATGCCCAAAAGCTCCAAAGAAGGCAAGAGCATTGCAGTTTGCTACTGAAGGTGCCCACTGGTGAACACTGGAAACTAAAGAAAGTTTATGTGGCATGAACACTGGCTCATTAATCTTCCTGTAGCATCTGCTGCAATGCCTCAGCCTGCACTGTTAGCACACTGGCCATCCAAAGCTAATTCTTTCTGTCATTATGGAACAAGAGTGGCAACCCAGGATTGAAAAGCTCTATATTCTAGTGTGAACTTTCCAAACTAACCAGGTCCACGGTAGCAACCTTCAGCCTATCTGAATCACACAGGTTGAAAAAAAAATACTCAGCTGCATCATTTATGGTAATGAAATTTAGCTTTAGCTAAACTTGAGATTTTGGAAACCATAGCTGGCATTGCTTTTGTCGAGCGAATAATGGTTTTTAGCCACATACAGCCCTGGTAAAATAGCTGTTGGAAACAGCTGTTGCTACCATGCAAAAACTGCATGGAGCAAATAGCTGCCACAGCCTGAACTGCTCACTTGGGATTCTCTGCAAACCATAGTGAATAAAACAAGCTTTTCCTAATGCCGGGTATTTCATCAGCCGTTTCACATAGCAAACACCAGTGCCTTCATGTTAAACCTCACATAGTTCATGCCCTTGTGCTGACAAACAGAGGAGATGTAATCACGTTGAGATGCTGCAAGTGGAGCAAATGGGCTGTCCCAGGCTTTGGCATAATTTCTCTTTTGATAACTGTGGATTTTTTTTGTCCATCCTTGCCTGTCCTTTTTGGTTCCATCTGCAACCTCCTCTGATTATTTGTCTGTCAAGTTATTTTTTTAATTTGGTTTCCCTGGAAGACATGTTTGCGTTACCATGGTTCTTGCAATAACCTGGACGCAATGGACAATATGGCCGTTTCTGATGGAGGGACCAGATTCCTAAGTATCAGTGGATTCTTTTCAATTTCACAGCATTTCTGAGGGGAACAGATATGTCCCATTATTCCTACAGTGGGGAGCTCTTCTGTGAGTCCACCCACAGGCACCCAAAGGAGTGCATGTGCAAGCGGCAAGGAGCCAGCTACAAACAGCAGGGAAGCAGACCTTTATTGTTTCTGAGATAGTCTTAAATGAGGTTTGCAAATCGTTTAACACAGCTCTGTATATTTTCCCTGTTGTACATTTTGGGCAATGCTTACATGTTTGTCCATCCACCACCCGGCCACGCTAGATCTCCTCTGCGTGCAGCTGCCGATCCTCTTCTCCAAGCCTGCTTTTGCATACCTGCCAAGAACAAAAGGAAGGTGAGAATACAAGCAGAAGAAATGCAAAGGTGACTTCTTTGTTTTTGCACCTGGTCAGCACGTATCATACACATTCATATGAATAAAACGTAAAATTATTCTTCTCTTGCTTTGAATTGCCAGCCAGCACTGATCGCAGCAACTAAGCTCCTCTTGCTGACAAGGGAGACTATCTACCATAGTCCAAACTTTACTCTTAGTTTCTGTTGCAAAGAATGCTTTAAAAGCGAAGCAACGTAAGTACGTTGTTTGCAACTGTATGACAGAGCTCATATTAGAAAATCGCTAGATTAATTTCTACCATTTAGAATGCATTGCACTTACCTACGCAGTATAAATGAGCTCATAAATTAGAAAGAATACTCTAAATTTAACTTCTGCGAAGTTCTGTCTCTGCATGGATATTAGTGTGCACCGAGGATAGGCTGTTTGAACTCTCTGGCCCTCACTCTCAGATTTAAATTAGTGTTTTGGTTTTAATTCTCACTGTGCTTTCACTGCTCTCAGGGAACAATAGGGAAGCCCTCTTGTAGTTAATTTACCACCTGAAGACACTAAATAAAAGTTGCAGGGCCTCATTTATTAAACCTCTCCATGAGACTGGAAACATTAGGCATTCATTCAAGGCTGTTTTTATTCAATATTTCCATCGGGGAATTAGAGCACTGCTGCAAACAAACCTAACGGAATCCAACGTATATCTGCCCACTGCTGCTGATGCGTGAGGACTCTGTATCGTGACAAAGCCTCTTCTGTGGCAGAAGTCAGAAGATGCATATTGAATAGGGCTGGCTGACAGGAGCCGTCTCTAGTCCACGTGAGATTTGGACATTTTGGCATTTGGTTCTCCCTAAATTCTTAGTGTAAAATATGTGTAGATGTTGCACAAAGCAGATGGTTTATAATGCGTAACACATTCATTTCTGCTGGGATGACATTGACATACATAGTTCCAAAATGTACCCTAGAACTCAGCAGCTGCTGGCAACATGGAAATATTTAAGGTCAGTTGGAATATAGCCTGTACCTACAGAAGAAATTAGAACAAAGAAATCAAGGTAATAAAAAAGTGTTTACTATAAGATGTAATTAGGGATATAACAACATATCACAGTTTACTATGATGTTTGAATTGTATCAATGTAAAATAAATGCTATTCTTTCATTTGCACATCTTTCTCCCTAAAGAAATTTTCTCCTCCCTGTTAATTGTCCCATATCTAGAAAAGCGACATTTTTCAAAGGCATGGCTGCTGTCATTTATAAAACATCAAAGTCTCTCGTGAAACACATGGAGATTTTCCCAATATCTCTACTCTTCAAATTCAGCATGATAAATATTGCTGAGTTCCTCGCTCAATAACCCCACATTCATCTCTCTGGCATGGTAAACAGCTCCAGAAGAAAAATGTCTTTTCCCAGCTCACTGTACGCACAGCAGTATTTAAGATCAAGTGGGCACTACCACTAATGGCTACTTCTTTTTTAATAGCACTGGCAACTACAAGTTGGTATGTGTGTGGAAACTGTGGAATGCTCTAACTATCCTGATGGATACAGATTTGGCTCAGGCTCACACTCTTCTGGTGCGTGAATAATGGCAACAAGTGGTGAAAGCAAGCCTGAAGGGTGGGCTCTGTTGCTTCTCAAGTTCAGCTGTGCTCAAGGACGGTCACTACTGGGTCATCGTTTCTCTGATGCCATTAGTATTCACTTGCTCACACCTAAGGGGCACCACACACAATAGAGGAGATTTTGTACCATAGCCCTGCCAGCAGTAAGGCACCTACTACAAATGAAAAAACATTTTGTAGAAGAACTGTGAGTAGTAAGGTGAACAGCTTAACGTGGGCTCTGTTAATACAATATAGTTAATATTATCCTCAAAACAATCTTATTAGAAACATCTCAGCTGGAAAGGATAATGAGACCACGGAGATGTTTCTGCGTAGTCTGAAATGCCAGCATGGTCTTATTATAGTTATCATTTATTTTGTCACCGCGATTATATCTGTTCTATTAGCGAACCTGCCTCCTACATTTCGGTTTGCTTATTTATGGCCGCTATTTTTGTTGCGCCAAATCTGAGCTTACAGCCTAATCCTAAAACAACTGTGCATGTAATTATTTTCATCAGAGTCCAGCAGGATTGCCTGGGGGCTTAGACACAGGCTGGAGCAGTGCCCACTGCCTTCCAGTCCTCAGAGCAAAGACCCAGGATTTAGCTCATTCCTAAGAAGTCCTAATGGATTGCATCTCTCAGAAGTGGAAAAAATAAGTAAATATGACTTCATCTTTTCACCTTCTGGAACAAATAGTAATTACGCTAAGGATTACTTCATTAAAATAATGTATCCCATACGTTTCTGAAAACTAAATAAGCAAATATTATTTATATCTTTTTTTTTTTTTACTAGCCATAATAATAAATCCCTGAATTCTTTCAATAAATCAACACCCATTTAGCTTTCCCAAACATAAATGAAAAATTACCTTCACGAGAATAAAAACATCACAACCCAATTCAGTAATACCAGCAATTTCATACTGATACAAATTTTGTTTAAAAGGTGACCTAGACAATGAAGCAAGTATAATTAAATTGGAAACAGCCAATTCAATGAAGTATTGATGTCAAAAGTAATAATTAGAGGAAATTTTAGTGCAGCAGTCATCTGGAAAAAGGATTATTTAGGAATAATGATATACTTACGTAAATAAATTTGAAATATAAAATGTCTGACAATAGCGTATAGAAAAAATAGTGTGAAAAGGGGGGTTTATTCTACTGGATTACAAAACTGGCAAAGATGAAACACGATTGCTGTCGTTAACACGGCACTAGTGGTTTCAATGTAACAAAAAAAGCCAACTGATTTTGATGACTTTTACAGAAACACGCTTTCTGGTATGAAACGGTCGAGCGCAATTAAGTTTCATCCAATTTGAGCATTAAAAAGACTGCTGATGTTAAATGCATAACATATTTTCCAGAACAGAACTGCAACTGCACAGGTATTCAGTGAAAAATATCAGCATTTCCCACTGCATAAGAGAAGAGAGAGCTCAGCTCCGCTGGTCCGTAAGGGACCATGTGACCTGCTAACAAGATGGAGGATAAGCCTCCCAACACATCTTTAAGTTCTTTTTGCAGAAAATCAAGACAAAGTCTAATATCAATTCAGTATGAGATATTGATTCTCTGGCCCAGTACTGGATAAGAAATGCAGCAGAATGCTACAGCACCCATACGAAGCCTAATTTCTTTTATTAAAAAAAAAACAAACAAAACAAAGAACCTAAGAAGATGAAGTAAGATAATTTGAAAAAAGAATTTATGTGAGATAGAAGCGTTCTGTGGGCTGACCCAGCCTTGCAGCCACCAGCTGGACCAGAGACCTCAAAGCAGTTCTAGGCAGGGGTCAGACATTGCAGCAGCATGTAGCTCCATGAAGCACCGTGAGGGGGATCTCCCTACAACAACACATTAATTGTTCTCCTTCAGCTTGTCCCTCCGCTGCATCTCCAACACACTCATGACCAAACCCAGTCCATGCAAGTTTCCTTTTTAGCTTATGAAACGGTGCTTATTCTCAGAGGGCACGTCTATATCCTCTAATCAACAATCTGGATAAGTTTCACAGCAGATTCCTGCTCTACCCACATTTTTATTTTCTTCATTGCTGATTACTTTCCACCTTTACTCCATAACAGTATGCAAAAGAGATCAAAGAAGTAGAAAGAGAAGAAAAACTTGTTTGAGAATAACTAGCTACATTTTCTGCCAATAAGGACCTCGCACATTTGCCCTGCTCTAAGTCAGGAACTTCCGTGAAGTTTTAGTCCCAGAATGAAAACAGTGAATATTCTAACCAAAGATTAATATAAACAAGGGAAGGCAGATTAAACAACTAACCACTAACTGTGCTCACAGCTTCTCAATTTGTCTGGTGGATGCTATATACAGCCTGCAGGTACAAGGCCCACACAGAATAGGGCATTATTTCCCTGTTTAAAAATAGGCAAAGTGAGGCTAATGAAATAAGACCAAAATACCCACTGAGGCTCAACCGACGAGTGCTGGGGAGCTGCTCTCTCCAGGCACCCAGGCCTAGCATTTGCAATTAACTCTCTGCTGATAGCACTGCAGAGCACTTCTGCTGTGGGAGATGGAGCTGGATCTCGGCTTGCAGATTGTACGCAATAATGCCAGCTCGATTTTGATGGCTGGCATCACGAGCAATGAAATAAGAGGAAGAAATATCACAGCTTGATTTTCAGTTCCCACGCTGAGCTGAAATGCTGGCAGTTAGGAAAGCACTGATTGACTTGTCAGCTGAGCAAATTTGATCTGGAAGTCCCAGAGAAAGAAAAACACTGAAGCCCACAATGTCATTTTTCCAGAGTCACTTTTCTGACTACAGCCACACGTTAATTTGTCAGTCAGAGTCTCTCAGGCCCACATAAATCTTGTTTCCCTGGAGACAAGCCTCTTAAATAGCAGTTCAAAACACCAACCAGATTGGGAGTGGAATTCAATTAAAGGAAAACCATCTTGTTGCTTCAGGGGTCTGTCCTGGTAATAGCTTCTGGAAGATGCATTTCCCCTGTTGCGTGCCTGGGCTGTTGTATTCGTTATTTTTCATGCACTACTTCTTTATGACAGGTAGGGATAAACAAAATTAAACATCACCTGATAATTTGATTATATTGATATCTGCTGCTTTTAAATAATGGCTAATAACTTGGATTAGTACTATTTTTCAACCTTTATGTAATTTAAATCATTCGCTAACTCACTTTTTGATAACTTACTGACAATTATTTTATTCATATAACGTTGTTTCTGCCATTTGATTGAATAAGAAACTTTTATATGATAAAATTGAAGAACAAATTATCTTAATCACATCTTTAAAGCAAATCCAACTGCAGAGTACTACTGGGCTAATTGATCTCAAGAAGCAGCCACCGAAATGG